CCCCCTCCCATGCCCCCTTCTCTAGGCTCTTGACTCGTTTTGAAACCTTTCTACTTCTACTCCTTGGCTTCTTTTTATACTGTTGTCTTTCAGCCACAGCCCTGATCTTAGGCAGAATCTCACACCTAACCTTCTTGGATAAGGGCGAAAAAATCTCGGAGGTCCCATTCGAAGTTGTGCATTTTAAAGATCCCTTGGTGGTCTTAAAATTGATAAGAGTAGACTTTGACCGCCACCGGGGCAAAATTCAAAATATATTCCTAGCAAACTGAAAATGCTTAACGAGTTCTGCGCACTCATATGATACACTACTGAAATTCACACTGTATGTTTTTTTTTTAATTTTCTATTATGTTTGCCTATATTGTTCTTATAATAAATATTGTTCTCTTGTTGATTTCTAATGTATAGATAAAACAAGTCAGGTTCTTGATTCTGATAAGAAATCCCGTAATTTGTTCTTGTCATGTGTATTTCATGAACAGTGCCAGCGCTGAGGTTGAAATGGCAGAACAAGACATGTCCAATCTTGTTGCTGTAGAAAGGGGGCTGGACGAGGAGAAAGACACGGTGAGTAGGTTTGGAAATTTCATGTAATAAAGGATGGAGAATCCTTGTTTGTATTGTAATTCCATTTATTTTGTTTCGCCTTCCTCCTTTATGTAAACAATTTAGTAACAAAAGGCCATTATCACTTTAGCATTTTTGTTTTTACCTAATTAGTACAATTGAAAGAGTTAGTGGGATATATTTTAAGATATTTTTATGTTTTTTGAAAAATGTTTTAAGCTTTACTGCTCGGGGGAGGGGGGGGGAATAGCATTTACCCATAACTGTGCTTAGTTTGTTTTTTTATATTGGATTTTGAAAATCACTTGTGAACAATCACATATATACGGCAACATCTGTGTGGTGCAAGGGCACTATGACGGGAAGGTACAAAAGACTATTCACTGTCAAGAACAGTGGAATCCATTTAAACCAGGATCTGCTGGACTCCAGATTTTCTTTAGTTTACCTGGGTTTTTGGTTTAGAGATGTTGCTTGAATAAAAATAAAAAATTGGAGACATTACTTTTTTAGGGTTTACCGCTGTTTTCAGATAAATCGTGCAACTCCACTGTAGGCCTACATGTATTTTGCCTCTTCATATAGCCGTGAAAATGGGTGCTTCTGTTTATATTTTGTGTTTGTGAGCTGTGGACCTCCAGTGTATCATTTGTATTCCCTTTATCTTTCAGTTGATGCTACGCACATTGGCACTTCTCCTGAAAAAGAAGATGGAAAAAAGGGTCATCACTCAGAAGTATTTTGTTGAGTTTGTGAAAAAAGCTGAAGAAGAAATGAAAGATCTCAACACCATGATAGACAGAGAAAAAGAGGATGCTGAACAAGTAAGACTTTAACCATCATGGTCTTTAAAGCATTATGTGCCTTATTCAAGCACTGTAATGAATTGAAACAATCTGTTGTTTCCTTAAGCAACCTTTTTGACAAATAAAATAAATATAATAATAAAAGTCAAAGATGGCAGTACACTACCCTTCTTACCAATTTTGAATGAATGCAAGATTCATAGAGGATCAGCTGACGTCCAATTTGCTGGTGTGATTTAAAGAGTCAACATACTAAATCAAATATTCTTGTGTGATCTCGAAAGGCAATGGGCTTGTTCTGATCTGTGTACTTCGCCAGCTGCAGTCAGTAGGAAAACATGATGTCTATTGTAAAGCTATTGGTCTAAATTGTGTGCACTGTATGCTTCCCAGAAAGTTGAGATTGTTTCAGAATGCTTTCAAGTATGCTGGGATAATGATATAGACTGTAAAGCGCTTGGAGTTTGCTGTTGAAAGTGAATTTGCGCTACACAAATGGTATCTATTATTATTAAATTCCACTCTATTACTCAGGTTGCCCTTGTCCTTTGAGAATCTGAAACCTTTCCAGTACAACTTAAACACTTTTAAAAATAAAAATAGGAGTGAGATTCCCATCTATAGCCACTGCAGTCACTATGGTCATTCTTGTTCTTGAAGACCATCATGATTTTGGCATCTTGAAATTTTGAGATACAGTCGAACATGTGTAAGACGGAATGGCAAGGGAGCCAGAAAAAAATTATGTCTTAGACATTTTACGTCTTAGACCAGGAAATTTAGGGGGGTGGGGTGGAGGGGGGTTTCAGAGGCCCAGCCTGTGGGATCAAGGGTCACTTGTCCGGTCGGCAAGCGCCACAAGTGGTCTAAACTTCACTCCTCTCAGGTGCTACGCTCTCTGATAATGACATACGTCAGTCTTATTCCAATTAACCACCAGTGCTTGCATTTCATAGGACCACTGTTTGACCTTTTAAAAACAGAAACGTTTATTTAACTCTTTTGCTTCCACCTTTAGCCCCACCCACCGGTGTAACAAGCACAGTCAAGAATGCCACCCCTCTCTTCCATGTAACTACGATTCGAGGAACTCTTTTCTCGGCTAGCTGTACGATCAGGGCAGCAGGCATTTGTCAAACTAATTTCACACCTCTGGCTCTCTGGCTACCAATGAAACATTCCATGCTGGAATGTCACTCGAGCACTTTCACTTGCACTCGTGAGATTTCACACCCACACCACCCTGACCATCTTCATCGCTCAGGGCTCACATAGATGGGGTAACATCTACCCTCAAACTGCACCCCTACTCCCCTTCCTCGCCTGGCAGCATGGCATTAAGTTTAGAGCCGGCGGAACCAAACTTGCGAGTTTTGTTTCAAATCAGGGCTGAGTGGACAAAGCATTTTCTGTCTTAGTATAAAACCTTTGGAAGGGAGTGGATTTTTCTTTCCGTTTCCGTGTTGGACAGGTTTCCGTTTTACACAGGTAATTAATAATAATAATAATAATGGATTGCATTTATAAAGCGCATATCCACTTATGCAATGCTCTATGCGCTTAACATGATACATATTATGGATTTACAAATCAATTTTAAAGGCACATAGTGTTACATACACGTGCACACACATATTCATGCACGCACGCACCACACACACATACACACATACGTACACACATACACACATACGTACACACATACACACATACACACATACGTACATATGCACATACGCACATACAAACTCACAACGATCTACAGCTTGGATGGATTCTGTCTAATCAAAATATGATGAAAATAGAAATGCTTTTAGTTTCTTCTTAAAAATTTCTAGATTTTCTGCTTCTCTGATAGTTTTTGGAAGCCTATTCCAAACAAGTGGGGCAAAATATGAAAAAGAGCGTTGGCCATATGATTTGTAATTTATTTTAGGCTTAACAAGGGTTGTTTTGTCACTTGATGATCTGAGCGTTCTTGGAGGCACATAGGGTGTTAAATGCTGTTTTAGATAGTCCGGTGATAAATCATGTAAGCACTTGTAGCAAGTTAAACAGATTTTATATATGATACGCTCTTTCACCGGGAGCCAGTGTAATTCTTTTAAAATAGGAGTCACATGATCACACCACCCAATTAAAGAGAAATATATCAAGGGGAGAGCGGGGAGATTCCGTTATGACAGGTTTCCGTTTTACACAGGTTTCTGTTTAGGCAGGTTCGACTGTACTTCTCTTTCTGCGTGACAAAGCTTCTTTAGTTCATGTAATTAGGAGTGAGGACATTTTTCCCACTGCTGACTGCCTCAACAGGTATTCCAACCTTGTCTGGAGCTGTGTCTGATGCCAAGTTATTAATTGCATGGTTTGTTTATGCAGTAGATGAGACCTCATTCAGGTGGTTTCAGGTTGGCTTAGATACAGTAGAATTCAAAGCACCATCTATTAATATATTAAAATTGTTTCTCCTGTATACAGTTTAAGATAGAATTTCTCACATCCCTATAATTTATCAAGATTGAGGGCAAAAACAAAGATCATATGTGTTGTCTTCTGAAGAAAACTTTTTGCAAATAATACAATTGTTTTTTACCACACTGAGGATGAATAGCAAAATGTGATGGTCGTCTCTTCAGCTGAATGTGAACAGTTTGGTCGAACAATTTGCTTTAGAATACACACAAGTTTTCTATGTATTTCACACTGCCTTTATTGTGCGTATTCATTTATATACTTTCTGAAAACACAAGTTCTTAAGCACTTTTCCCATTGCATATATGCAATAGTCCTCAATGTATATCATAGTACCCTTTATATAGCAGGTAAAATCATTTTTCATCTATTTTAGAAACTGCTAAATGATCCAAAAACAAACAAGAATTCTCAAGCTTTCGAGACAGAGATGGAAAAACTTCAAACCCATTATAACAACAAGCAGGTATAGTATCTCTTTGTTTTCATTGCTTACTTGAAACATTGATATGCTTCCTAAATGGTGTTCCGTTTTAAAGCAATCCAGTAGTACAAACAACCAATTTTACAAGTATGTTCAAGAACTAGTGATGTGGTTTAATAAATATTCTCAGAAATAAAGCAACCGTAAAGAAATACACAAAAAAGTTCACCCAAGGTTGAGATTGATCAGTTTATTTAAATAATTTACTCATCATTAAATCCACACATAGAAAAATGTTTTAATCTCAGACAAAGATAGTACATAACAAGATGGGCCACTTCTCTCTTTGAGCCAATTAAAAAAGTGTCCTCAAAATTTGGTGGCGCCCTCTTCACAAAAGCGCACTCTTTGCGAACAGAGTTACCCTACTTGAGTTTTTAAAAATCAAAGTGAAACTAGCAAGTTTTGGGATAAATTTCGGAAGAACGCTTTTTTAAAAGGGTTACGCTGACAAAAAACCTCTTCCGGAGGAAAGGGTGATGGTTTTCTTCGTTTAATTTGACTTTAGAATGAAAGGCGAGAGGTCATTAAAATTTTTTAAAACTTAAAACTCCGCACTGAACGTACCCGAACTACTGATGAACAGCAGTCGATCTGCGCATGCAAGGAGGTGCTATTCCTATTCTTCTTCTGGAAAAACGAAAGAGAGCTTCTAAACAGACTGCAGCGCCATCTGAAGCAAAGAGCATACTTCCTGCGGACACTCTTTTGGCTGAGTGGCCCATCTTGTTATTTACTATCTTTGTCTCAGATGAGAATGATGCCCTACAATTTGCAGTATTATCTTCTTTATTTTGTGCAAAGTTGAACTGTTTTTATCTATCTAATTATTCTTAAACAGATTTTGCAAGAGTATTCAGAGAAAAGTAAAGTTAACAAATGGAGAAGACTTTAGTTATGTTTTCAGTATTTTAAAATGCTTCTCTTATCGTTTACAAAATATTGTTACTCTTTAAGATTAAATTTAAGTGTCAAAAATGTTAATGCTTGCAGAATAAACTTCACAAGGACTACAGGAATGAGATCAGGTTGAACCTTCTCCGCTCATCTGGGATGTCAGAGGCAGAGGTTGATGACTTGATGGAGAAACTGATGAAGAATATGGCTGTTGTAGAGGAAAAAATTGGACTGGAACAGGCCAGACAAAGAAGAGTAAGTTTGTCTGGATTTGGGGCTTTTAGGATTTTTTTTCATCGTTCTTCCATCATGTCTTTATTCATAACATTGAAGTGTACAACTGGAGCCCGTGTTTTTTCTGATTTTTTCATGTTTGCACAAAGATGCCTGGCAACGGAAAGCTGAAGTTAGGAGAAGTTTTGTCTAATAGCAGATTTCCAACTGTCCACTGAAAAGTGGAAAGAGGAAAAGCAAACTAATAACATGGAAATGATCCTATTCTCACCTGATTACTTATTCATTAATGCCATTTTAACTTATTAACACATGAACATTGCAATGTGATCTGGGAATAAATGCCATTTTCAGGCTTTGGAACAAAGATTGGCAAAGCGAAGGCAGGCTGTAGAGTTCCAAGAAGCTGAGACAAAAGAAGCAGACGCAAATGCGGATGAAAGAGTCGACCTACTGCGGAATCTCCTGGCAGATCACATGAAAGACTCTTCCATGTTGGAGAAACAGAATGATGGTGTAATTGCAGATTATGCCAATGACTTGGACAACATTAGAAAGTATTTCGGCAAAGGTAAAAAAAAACTGTGCTTGTTTCTTTCGAGATAACATGTATCATTGAATGTGGTAAGACTTATTAACCTTAATTTTCAAATCAGTGCATTAAGCTTAGGTTTTCATTTCCTCTAATTCTGTTTGAAATTAATCGTTAGATGATTTTTATCCCAGTTTTACCTCTTCAAACTCAAGAAATATATTTAAATGTGTCAACTTCTTGAAATATATCTGAGTTGATATCTGTAACCACATATAAAAATGGGTTTTAGATGTCTTTTAGATGTTACTAAACTGTTGTGTTTGATGGATCCTGTCTAAACTCTCTATTAAATGTGAGTTGATTTTTCCCTTTCAGAATATGAAGGTTTGGTGTTGGAAAAGTTTGATTATCTACAAAACACTCGTTTGAATAGCTTCTTCAAGTTGAACAAAAAGCAAGAAAAGGAAAAGGCTGCTGTTCTTCAAATGGCAAACAAGAGCACACCTGCAGAATTTATAAAGGTGGTCACTTTTTCTTTATCCACAATGAGTTTGACTATCTCAATATTGTGTAGAGCATATGTGCTAATTTACCTCAGTGAGGATTTTTTAAATTGACTTTGAAGCCATTAAAGAGCTCTGCTAACTCAATAGACCAAAATTTGTAAGCAAACAGGTAAAAGATGCTATACATCCCAACTTGAAAATTATGATTAATATGTCTTGTATGGTCTTAGTGACCTACATGAAGCGGGTCTCATAATGATATTAATATTGATCTTACAGGTATCAAAATATGGATAATGATCTGAACGAAAGGTAGCTTTGAAAATCAAATCCTCAACAGTTGTGACAAACTTGATCATTTCAATGTTGGATCTTATCCCATTGAAATCTCTAACATTTCCAGCTTTTCAAAAGCATGTTTTATTATTTTGTTGCAGATAATTGGTCACTATTCATTTTAGAGTATTCAGTTCAAAAGGGACTCTATTCTCTAAAATTATACTGTTTCACTATATTATGTTTATGTTTCTGTTAGGTGTACCATGACTTGATGGTGAAGCATCATATGGAGCAAGAAGTCCTTAGTGGAGAACTTGACCAAAAAGAAGTCCAAGAAATTCATAAATTGAAACAAGTAAGTCAATATGGTGTAAGGACAAGTACAGGTTTTTTTTTTACTTATGCTGGTTTCTTGAACACCGAAGTAATTTTGACAACAGTATTCAGTTGAAACTCTGTGTACTATAGCACACGTTGTCAGCAGAAAGCTGCAAATGACTTTTATCCGTTTTGGCCAAAATAAAAAGTTGATACGTTCAAATAACATTTCATCATGTCTGTATATAAAAACCCATGTGTCCTGTTATTTTGCCACTATATCTATTCTAGTTGTGTTCATAAAATATCTAAGTGTTTCCTGTGAATGCCATACCATAAAAATCTGTTTTTCTCAAGACAAGGAGTTTGAACATAACCACCTTTAGCACCCCACTGATGGTATAACATAACTGGCTTACCTTTTTATGTTTTGTTTGCGTGTGCGTCAATAAAAAATGCCACTATGTGCAGTAAGGACTTCTTTGTTGGGAATCCTCCTGCAGTATAAGTGTGTTATTGCCCTCTCTCTCTCTCTCTCCCTCTCTCTCTTTCTCTCTTTCTCTCTCTCTGTCTCTCTCCCTCCTTCCCTCTCTCTCTCTCTCCCTCCCTCCCTCCCTCTCTCTCTCTCTCTCTCTCTCACACACACACACACACACACACATATATATACACACTCCCTCTCTCTCTCCCACACACACTCTCTCACTCTCTCACTTTATTTTTTTGCTTGTTCATATCTACATATAAATAAATACATCCTTTATTAGGACATTTCAAGGGAGGAGGCCAAGGCTCTGGATGCAGAAGCTGAAAAAGTCTTGGAAAAACTAGAAAATACAAGCAACATGACGTCTCTTGAAGCTCAAAAGATCTTGAAGAGTCATAAGCAGCAAATGGCAAATTGCAATGGTAAATACTTAATACTTTTGTGTTTTTACTCATGCACTCATGGGTCACAGCCCAAGTTGCTACTTCCTTTTTTTTTTTTTTATTCTCAAAATCTGAGTGGTTTCCACAAGATTTGAGTTACTGGTATGATATTTTTATGTGGATAGAAAGGTTTGTGTGAAGGTATATGAAGCTTTTTTTTTAAATACCTGGTATTTGAAAAGTTTCAAGGTCTTATAATTGTATGTGGTGGTAATGGTGTGTGTGAGGGTTGGGGAGGTTTTTTAAAAAATATCTGACTATTTCTATCATAGTCCATGTCTGCACCTTATGCCCATAGGAAATATATTGACCAAAAGCAAGCCATGATGTGAACTGTTTGTGAATGCAACCACTTGTGTTTCACTCGCTCATATGACCTTACACAATTGCGAGCGCCGTTATACTCCTACTAATCTAAACCATTTCCTTTTTTTTTTCGTAACTCTTTTCTTTTCTCCTTTTTTCTTTCTACTATGCGATTTGTTAATGAAAAGGTGGAGTTTTTCTTCAGCATGTCTTTGTGTATTTTCACCTTTGCCCTCTCAAGTTAGCTGCTGAGGGTCCCAACAATGATTCACGCGTTTTTACCCTGTACAAATAAAGGAGCCCCAGTTGATGAAGGGTTAATGAATGCATGTTCTCAATGAATGTCAAGCAATGCTTTTTTGACAGCTTTGTTCACAGGAGCGGGCAGGTTGTTAAGCTATGCATATTGATAGAACATAACCCTGCACGGAGGGTATCAAGAATAGCAAATTTGAGCAGATTACAATAATAGCTTTCTGTGTAGTTTGTGATATTATATGCTTTGAATGTATCAGCATTGCAAACTGCTTTTTACCAACGATACCTAACTTATTCAGTTTCTCTTTCTTTTATTTATTCTGACAGGTCATCTCCTTAAATGTTTTGCGCTTTTTCCGTCCATTAAGAATACATTTTTGCAAAAGTCATTGCTCTTTTTTCTCAGCTCGAAGACAAAAGGAGAGGCAAGCCATGATGGTGAGGCTGGAGGAAAGGCTGCAGCAAAGACTGAATGCTGCAGATGAGGCTGAGGCAAGAGATCAAAAAGAACAGGAGACGCTGAAAGAAGAGCAGACAGCAACTATGAATAAAGTTTTGGCAACCAACATGGATTTAACAGAAGAGTGAGTATCAACTGCAAGTTCTTTCTATTCACTTATGAATTGAACAAAGTTTCTTTCTTGAAATATTTTTAAAAAATTAATGTCTACCCTCTCACTGTTGTTTTCAAATGATACATGACTAGAATACTATAAACTTTATAGCTCCTTTGAAAATCAGGCCAAGGCACTTACTTACAAAGTATTGACTGTAAATTAATAGATTGCATTAATGTGGTTAACATAAACAAAGAATCGGGTAAAAGAGTTAATTAAATAGTAGCAATTTAGAATCTTCAGAGGCACTAGCTCACTAGTTCTTTCCCTGTGCCATTTATTTTCACGTCTTTGATAGCCTCATGCAAATACTGACTGTAACTGCTGTAGAATTCAACTAGAATTTAATTTACCAATTGAAAATCATAACTAGATGTGTTTCAGCATATTTAAGGAAATTGTCAAAAGTTCTATTAGATTCTACCTTTCACTGAATAGGCCTACTGTTCAAGTGATCATCTGCTCTTTGTGAAAAGCACATAGTATTTGGAGCGGGGTTAGTAATATTTGAAAGACGAAATTAGTGATGAGCTCTGGGGTCTTGCAAGAGTAGTTAATTTGAGTATGCTGAACGCGATGCCTCAATTATGCCGTAAAAATCCATTATTTTCCTATTATTTGAGAGCTGGCCATAGGCATACTTCCTCAATAGCTTTTCTGCAGTCCCGTTTTAATATTTTTTTCAAGCCCTCAACATTTGTCTTCTTTGTAGTTGATCCGTTGTATGCTCTGTGGGGGGAAATAAAATGATGAACTGCAATAATCTAGTTTTGAGATGACAAATGACGTGATCCCTTTTTTTCCCAGCTTCCCCAGATAGGCATTTACAATATTACTTTGGTAAAATCGCATCAAATGTGCATGAATATTGAATCAGATATTTGTATATTATGCAAGAATGCATTTTGCTGTAATCTTTATTGGTAAGTGTGTTCAAGAAAAAGATAATAGGGCTTATCCAAATCAAATGTCTTGGCAAATATTTAACAAATATTGTTTAAAAAATATATGCCTTTCTTTTTTTTCAGAACATTGCTCTTGCTTATTTTGTTTTGAAATATAATTGTACTTTCTGAAGTGAATGTAACAACTGTTTGTTTCAGAGCAAAAGAGAGAGTCTTGAGGGAACATGAACAGAATATGCAAGCCTTGTCAAATCAGTTATTACGCAGTAAACAAAGACAACAAAAAAGGTAAATATTTCATTTTATACCCGTGATGATCTGACATTTCTTACTGTTATTTGTTATGTTCAAATTTTGATGAAGCACATGCTTTTTCTTTATTAAAATGACACTGTCCAAGAGGACCACCTGTCTGATATGACCACTTTTCTCCTTAACCATGGTTTGGCAGGTTTGACTGTACTTTTTTCCTCTTTAAAGAGAAGAGGAACAAAAAAAATCATAACAGATTATAAGCCTCCGGATTTTGATAGGAAGTCTGATTTTTACTAGGTATCAGAAACTAAATTTTCAAAGTACCTGTATGCCAAATTTATCTGTACCATTTGAAAGGCCTATATCCACTGAGCATTTTGGTACCATTCTTTAACCTCCCAGTCAATTTTTCAGAAAATGATAGTTGTTTAAAATTTGATCAAATTTGTTAAAATCAGTCAGTGGCTGCAACCCCATGTTTGACAGACAATAAAAGAGTACCGGGAGCACTAAACATCTCCACATTAACAGAGTACAATCACTATAACAAATATATGGAGCCTAATTTTTTTCAAGACTGTGACATCCTTACAAATCAGTATTTTATTGCCTCAAACACGATGATCTGTCATTATTTCGACAAAAACACCTAACGTTGACCCGGCCGGCGCCGCACCGGCCCCCGCGGCAAGCAAGTCGGCTCTATACTGTAGTGTACCCCGCGTGCTGGATCACATGCTTTCCGAGTCTCGCGGAAGGATTGATGAAAAATAATTCCAAGCTGATTACTTTATTCTAATAGGAAATAAACTGATCTTTTTATTGATACCTTTTTAAAGCCGGTAATTTACATATTTTGTGTAAAAAGTGATCTTTAAACATTTTGACGGTATTTTTAAAAGCTTTCTATTTAGACGCCAAAGGCGAAATATATATCACAGGAAAGCCCGTTCAAAGCTCTACATTCTCCGCCAATGAAAAGACGGTATTTAATCATCCCTTGTTCCGCGAAGCATTTTAATGCACGTTTGTCAATTTTTCAACCGGCCGACCACGCATTCCGACTGCGAGGGGCTTCGCTTTCATCGGCGATTCTCCGGCTCCTAATAATCGGACATATAGACAACTTACACCATTGTAACGAAGAAAAGCTGAACTTTTACAAGGTGTACGGCATTTGGTGTTTTATAGCGAAAGAGCAAAGAAACGGCGATCGGAATTACCCCGATTTCACCGATACCACGCGGTCGGAAGGCCGCGAGTGCCCTCGAGGCCGTGTTTACGCTACCTATTTTTACACTCAGAAAGAAGAAAAAGTATTTTATCTTCTCAAATAGGAGTTTCTATGAACTAATATTCAATCTTATCAAAACTGTCCAGCACTGTGGAATTTCTATGTCGGAGAAATGCTTTCTATTCACAGCCTTGAGATCAAATTAAATCAACGAAAAGTGAGGCTGGCTGAATTAAGGCAGAAACAAGAGGACCAACATCAAAATTCATCTGTAGTAAAGGATCAAGATGATAAGAATGCAATATTGGTAAGGCCTCTCCTGTTGTATGCTCTTACTTAAACAAATACAACAACTGAAAATACTGTTTAAAAGGAAGGAAAAGACTAGGGGGATCAGAATTTTGGTCCTCAGAGTCTATTAAAATTGTGGTCTTTTCATTTAAAACATGGGTGAGTTATTTATCCGTGAAAGAGAGAGAGAGAGAGAGAGAGAGAGAGAGAGAGAGAGAGAGAGAGAGAGAATGAAAGACAGACAGACAGAAAGGAAGTGAGAAAGAAAGAGGGAGAGAGGGAGGGGAAATGTGTGTTTGTGTGTGTGAGAGAGAGAGAGGGGGGGGGAGGAAGGGAGAGAGAGAGAGAAAAAGTGGGGGGGGCTTGAGAGAAAGAGAGAGATGAATAAGGCTACTACTGCACTATGACATTCTTGTCTCGGACAGGACTGTCCTGTCCCACCATGGATTTCTTGCCTGTCAAAACAGATACCACACTAGGACAGGACTGATCCAGCGCATAAGGCGGCTTCTTTGTTGTTGCCCAAGGCGGAGTTAAAAATGCATTCCAAAAAATATTGTCCAAATTTTAAAAATAATACGATTTTTGTGATCAGCGACCCAAAATTTGCACATTTCACGCGGGGAACGCTATTTAGCACCTGATTACGAAATTGAATTATATTTTTTGTGTGCTTGTGTCTTTCACAATTCGGCCCGTACTAGGCCTAGATCTGGATTGCATCTTGTGATAACATCTACCCCCAAGCCGCACCTCTATTCCCTTTCCTCATCTGGTGACATGGTATAAAAGTTAAAGCTGATGGAACCAAATTTGGGAGCTGTTTCAACTCAATGCTGAGCAAATAAAGCTTTTTCTGTCTTAGACAGGCTAAAAACCCCAGAAGGAAGGGAATTTCCCTTTCCATTTCCACGTTGAGCAGGTTTCCGTTTTATAGAGGTACAGTAGTCTCTGCCTAAACACACGGTGCTCAGGACGGCTCCCAAGCATGTGTTTCCACAGAGCGTGCGTTTACATGAACTCGAGCAAAGGAAAGAAGGAACGCAGTCATCTTATTTCTTTGATATCTCAGTGACCTCCTTTGGGGGAGGGGGGGGGGGCACTTTGGCCGATAATGTGACGACATGTGACTGTTTTGTTAAGGATTCCCCGACTGTGGTTATAAATTATGAATACAAAGTCATTGAGTGAATGGGAGGGGGGAAGCTGAAAGACAGACTCACTGTAGTATAAAATGTCGGGAACAGATAAGAGGTAACTGTTGTTGATAGCTCTAGTCATAGAAGGGAAAAGCTGTCGGCACACAGCTTTCCAAGCGACCACTCCCAATTGCCTGTCATCTGTTGCAACTCGGCGAATGCATAGATGACATCAGAATCAGACTTTACGAGACACTTTTCTCTTGTGATTCTTTGAATAAGTACGTTATAAGTTCTTCGAGTGCTGCTGATAACTTGACAAATCTTTAATCCTGTACAGGCCTATTTAGTGTTCTTGAGCATTCACGCGTGTTACGCATCATAGGCCTAACTTAACATTACGTACACAGACACTCACACTCCAGTCAGAAATATTCTCTCAAAGACGCATAATTTCGAGTGATTAAAAGACATTTCAGTCCATCCTCCTCCCCCCCTCCTCCCTTTCCCAACATATCACCTGACCAGTCCTAGACCTATGTACCCGTGGAAAGTTAGGTGTGAAAACACTGTCCATCCCTCTCTTTATTCTGCGTGAGGGGCAGTCTCGCCAAATATCCTGTTGTCTAGGCTTGTCTTATACAAGCTGTGCAGGTTGTAGCGAAGATTTCCCTTGTCAAGCTTTACCTGCCAGCGTGTTTTGTGGATCGAAGCATGTGCTTAGAAGAAGTGAACGTGCATTTGTACGTCTAGACTATATAGTTTAGAAACTCGTCATATGACAAAAGCATGCTATGGGCGGAGCAAGCCTTTGTATGTCGTGCGTTTATGCGGAGACTACTGTAATTATAGAGGAGTCTATCAAGGAAGGAGAGGAGAGATTCGTTATGACAGGTTTCCATCTTCAAGAGGTTTCTATTGAGGCAAGTTCGACTGTATATAAGGTGTTCTTGATTATCATTTTTTTCCTATTTTCACTTCTCGTAATTCTTTTTAAGCTCATTTTACATCCACAAATGTTTTGTGTTTATGTTGTCTGTTCAATTTGAAATAGTTTGAGGGGTCGACCGTCCATTTTGATCAATATTTAATTTTGTCTAAAATTATAACTGTTTTTTGTAAGCACACCTTGAGAATCTGAACAAAGATTGCGTAGAAATGGGGAATACCTATGTATAGGGAGAGAGTTAAGAAAACAAGTAAAACATGTAGACTTCCTTCCGTTTGATAGCTTTTAAACTGGCTCCTGCATACGTATATATATATATTACAGGCTGCTCAGATCGCCAAAGAGGAAGCAGACTTTGAGGAAGCCAGGAAAACAGCTGTGGCCGATCTGAGACGCCGACTTGCCGAAGAAACGAATCAAGCCTTAAAACTACAAGATGAAGAAATTGGCCTGCTAATTGGTCGCCTTCAGGTATCCTATTATTGACCTGATATAGTAAAAATGGTTTGATCTTAAATGTTTTTCCCTTCCATCAACATGCTGATATCACTCTGGAAGTAGACTGCTCTCAACTCTTGCTGCCTGTCAGGGCCAACCTGAGCTTAGTGGATCATAGCATTTCAGGTGAAAGAAAGATACTTGAGAAAATGCACTTCCTTAAAAAAAAAAAGTCACGTTTCAGAATCAGGGGCTCATCAATTGTTGGGCATATGGAGTTATTGGTATCATCTTAATGCTTATTCATTTGCCTTGCCTTCGATCTTTTAAAAAGTACACTTCTCACTTGAATAGAAGTCAAGATATTTGCGATTGAAGGAGGTGGGGGTCACTGGTTTCAGATGTAAAATCCGAGAGAAAATGGCTGCCTAAGTTTGGAGACTTCCATACCTTGAGAGTCCGTGGAAACTAAAAATTTACATTTTTTGTCCTTTTAATCTACATTTTTCAGTATACTCACTGAAATGTGTTCTTAAATGGACAAAATAAGGTGTTGTGCCAAAAATAAAAATTTGATTAAAAAATGCCAAACCCGATGGAAATATGCCTGTTTCTTTGATTTCATTATTTTGATGAGAGCCTGATTTCACCATGATGCCTCACATATAACCTACATCCTTTGCTTGGTTAGCAAAGAGTCTAACAATTTTAATCATAGAACTTGGTTATGATGGTTTCTAAGTGGAATTAAACTACTCTTTTCTTGATGTTATGTGTCCTCTTTGTTTAAACTTTTGTTTGGACCCAATGTTAAAAAAATGCCTGATAAACTTACTGCCTAGGACTGTTTTGACTTTGAAATTTTGTGCATGTAACAGAAGTTTCTAGATTACACACCAGTGTAAAGTCTCAATTTTTTCTCAACTATCTGCTTTCCATCCATTTTGATTTTGTTCCCTAAGAGTGAAACTGTAAGATTAAGAAACTAGATAAAGAAAAAATCACTTGAGCTATTTTTATTCATTTTTTTTAAATGAGAGAATTATTTTAATTAGGTCTATATATACAGCTTTGATTCTCCCTTAAGGAGTGCCCACATTTCCTAGAACTTACCCCAATTAAATTCCCCATTATAATTTATTCTGACATGAGGAATAAAGTTGAAAAAATGTTGGGGATAAAATGGTGATGAATGAAGCCACTTGTATGACTATTCTCTAATGAAACTTCCTTCATATTTGATGCCGCAATTGTTTTAAAATGAAATAAAAAATGTTTCCACCTGTCAGGTTGGCCAAGCCAGAAGAAAAGCTATATTAGAAAGGCAAGACGCAACCCTTAAACAACTTCAGGTAAGAAGCTTTCTTTTCATGATTCAATAACCATTGTTAAACACTTAACTCCTTCCCCACTGATGACAGCCTAACAGAAGCTCTTGTTTCACTACATCAATACCTCCAGTCAGCGGTCACTAAATTTGTGAAAGAATGAGTTACACTTTTCTGTGGTCTCCAGTTTTCTTGAAAAATCTGTTTGGCAGGTTGACATTCCATGCTTTTCCAATAATAGTTTGTATGTGAAAACAAACACTCTGGAACATTAAATTAACATCTCCACACTTCATACAGTTTTTCTATCATTTCCATCCTGTTACAGTTACACTGTTTATTCTATTAAATTTTCTGTATACAACATTTTCTCCTTTTCACCGAGACTTACTGTGGTGAAATTTATTATATATATATATATATATATATATATATATATGTTGTTTGTGTCTGTGTACCATTTTGCTTTTATTTATTATAGTCTCTGTTCCCACTGCCACTTCGTCTTTGGCATACTCCACAAGTATCTGTGATTACCAGACTAGGAGAAGTCCATGCTTATTGCTTCATATGTTAAATGAAAGCTCTATTTTTTTAATTTTTGTTGTTGGCATTTTTACACTCCCATCAACACAATTTTGATTATTTAGGAGGTGGGCTTTGATTCTGCTTTTCATGGTCAATGCTGACTGCGGGAGGGACACAATATCTCAAAGGAAAGAACAGGATATTCTATTAAAAATGTCCCCTACCCCCCTTTCCCCCCAGGAATTGAACTCAGGTCTCCTGTATGCTACGGCAAAGTGCCTAACTACTACACCACAGATACTGATGAAAGCTCTAATAGTCTGTAAACACAGGAAAAAGTTGTACATGTACCTATTATGTACATGCTTGTGCAGAAAGAATGCTAGTTTAATGAAAAATGAAAGTCCACCAACTATGAAAAGATGTATGCAGTTCATTAATAACACCTCTGGAAACATTAAATTTTTTGAGTGTCTAATAGAAGTATTGCTTGGTATGCTAAAAGAATTCTCTTCTCTCTTTTGATTTAATCACAGGATGAACTGGAAAAGAAAGTTGCCAGTGGAGAGACTTTACCAACCACAGTGACTGATCAGATCATTCAGCAGCATTACAACCAGGTGTCGCATCTCAACGACCAGATACAAAGACGAAGGGATGAACAGCAGAGAATGATCATGGAAAAACTTACTCGCAAAAAGCAACATTTGGAGAGGTTATACTGATACTTATTTTCTGCTACATAATGAATTAATTGGGTGTGGGGTTTTTTTCCAGAATAAGACTCTTCAGCTCATAGATGTCTCTTGATGAAGTTAACATGTTCTTAAACTTAAGTTTCTGTTTATGGAACCCCTAAACCTTGCCATTCCTCGGGATTGACTTTCATGTCCATATGTGTGAACATGATGGTAAGGGCCTCTATAGGAGCAGAGCCTGCCATGTACTACTAAATGGTCTAGATAAGTGTAATTTAAAAATCTATCATATATGTACTGAATCCTTAGAATTTTGTTTGATGTGACACTATAATAATCGTTATCCACATAAGATGATTTACAGTTATGAAATGAAATTTTTAAAATTTATTGTGCTCTTTACTTTTTCAGTACGGACTTAGATGTGGACGTGTTTTAAATCGACTTGTTTGCCTCTAATTTTTCTTTACTCTGAAATTTTGAAATCCTTTTTGTGGATGAAAAAATCAATTGAAATTAAATACAAAATCAAGAATTCTCTTTAAAAAGTAAGGCATTGTGATGCTTATTTTTATTTCAGTGAGATTGAGGCACAACTTGAGGAAGAAGCTCAAACAGAATACACAGACCGCCAGCAGAAGGGAGCAGGGTGAGTCAGCATTGTTCATAACCTGTTACAACTCTACATTTTGTACTCTCTTTCTCTTTCTCTCCTCCTGTTTTTCTTTCTTTTTTTTTTTCCTTTTTTTTGGCTTTATTATTTTGTTTCCATCTTTGACACTGTTCTTCTCCTTGTTCTTAATATCAAATAATTCTCATATTTCTCAAACACCAGCAGTGTGTGGAAACTATGAAAGATAAAGAATTTGAATAAATCCAGGTCAGTAGTGCAAGTTTTGTTGCCCTTTGCAAAGACCTTGGAAATATGAAGGTTATGTCCTACTCTCGGGACGACCTGAGGTGTTGCTGGATGAGCGACATAAAGGATGTTACTAATGCACTATTACCATCAATCACATCATCACAACCATTTTCATCGTCATTATCATCATCATCACCATCGTCATCATCATCTTCATGTGTCTTAAGATTATAACAATATTGAAAAACTTTTCCATATGTTGGCATTTTCTTCATAATAAAAAGAATAATAATATTCCTGTTAGCATTAGCCACAATCCAAGTTACCTTGTAGAAGTTCAAAGTAGTGGGCTAACAGATCTCTTTTGAAGAAAAAAGCTGAAGTGAAAGAAATGTATATTTTAAGAATATGTTCTAGTTTTCTTTGTCATTGGCATGAAAATTAGGCCTACCTCATAGTTTTATCAACATACACTATGTTAAGTTCGCATCTGAATTAGACACCATGTCTGTGTCCGTACTGGGAATTCAGTATCATGCATTGTCTTAATGAACCCTATACCATTAAGGTATGCAAGTCTTGCTCTCATGCAAGCATTCCTGGAGCAGCGACATAGTAAAGCAATGGAGGAGCTCCAAGATGAGATGAATGCTGAGCTAGAAAAGGGAAAAAGCGATCTCAACATGGAGCTAGAACAAGAACTCAGGAATGAGCTTGAGGTATGTAAATTAAATTGTAAAATTCACATAAATGAGGCAGATATTTTTTTTATAAATGAAAGATACCTTTCTTAAAACTGCTCCTACTTCAAGCACTTTCAGTACTTTCATTTCTGATAGATTCATAGGTATTTAAGAGATATTGTTAATGTTGCTACTGAAATATATATATTTGATATATATGCTTTAGTTTTTATTACAATTAAGTACCTCTGTATTATTTTGTTTTATAATTTGTGTTGGCTATTGTGGTGAGTGAAGATATCCAACTTTAGACGCCAACTTTTACTTGATTTTTAATGTATAGTATAAGGTTTTACGGCGCTTGCAACTGCTAAGGTCATATGAGCGCTTTTTAATGTATGTGTTAGTAAGCAGCTCACAAGTATTTTGTTGTTGATCTGTTTTAGGGGCACAGGCAAAACCTATTGACTCAGCTTGCTGCTGTAAGCAAGATGTCCAAAGCAGATCTTCAAGAAGCCATGACAGCAACAAGTCACGGTAATCCTTGGTTCAAATTTGATTTCTGCTTTGCTAACTCTCCAGTTTCAACCTGGTCTCTATTTTATTTGTAATGGTTGCATGCTTTGGTATTTGCTCGTTTATACAACCATACGCTTTCCCCTGTATTAGAAAAAAAATGTTTTTAATAAAAAATATGTGTGAGTGTTTGAAGATTTTATTTTCCCTTTGGTAGGCAACTTCAGTGAGGATTTTTAATATCTAGAAGAGATATACAGATATTTAATATTTATCTTTGCAGGTGAAATGCTTTGAATATTACGACTATATCATCCTCCCTGATGCTGGATACATAACAATATATGCAGCTTTTTATTTATGATATATCTATCAATTAATATTAATTCGGAGTAAGGTTGCGCCAGTAGCCTAGTTGTTAGGCTACCGGACTCGTAATCGTGAGATTGCGAGTTCAGGGTTCGAACCTCAGCTCAATTCGACATTGTGTTCGTGTGAAAGACACTTTACATGAATTTCCCTCTTGGCTGGGTCCTTTTGGAGATGGATGTTAAACTCGGAGCTCCTGCTTCTTAAACCGAGCTCCCACCTTTTAAATAACCTAATAGTGTTGATAGGGGCGCTAGACCTATACCTTTTCACCTTTTAATATCGGAGAAGAAAGTGAAGGGTGAGTTAAGTAGTGGATATATATATTTATGAATATTCATGAGCAGGATTGCATTGTTATGTGTTTGTTTTTGTTCTATTGTTTATCATTTAAATCTCTCTATGAATATATCATAAGATTCCACAAACAAGATTGTATAGATTTTTTAATGTCAGCACGTATTTGTGTGTGTTAATATCTCTCCATGACAATGGAATGATATTCTTTCACATTCAGTGTCACACGTTACAAATTTGACATTTAAGATTGATAACATCCTTCAATTTTCCTTGTCTAGATTCACCAGCAAGAGGTAATTACAGCACTTTTTATGAGTCTGATGGTAGCAAATAGTAAATAGCGATGCATCAATCTTTCTCTTTCTCCCCCCATCATGTAATTATCTCTTTTCCATTTTTACTATGCCATCTCTGCTTTTCCCTAGAAGATTAACCATAGTGGCTCTCATGACGCTGTAGAAGAAAATGGCTTGTTGTCATATTTTTTCCAACAAGCGATATATTTTTTTTCATTACCATTTATAATATATACCTTTGTAATATTTGTATACACACACACACCCACACACACAGACACACACACAGATTTTGCAAGATAAGATAAATACAAGAACCCCTTTTTCTTGAAATGCTGTTTTTAATTATTGTTCCCTTTATAAAGAACTGTATTGAATGATACTTATTTTTATAAAATGGCGATATAGATTTATCCATAGAGCATAGCAAGTTGGTCTTTTTTTTAAATCATATCACTTCAAGTTTGTGATCAAAAGTTTGTTGACAATTAGTTACATCCCAATTTATTCCTGGTCATATTTATTATGCTTCTATATGCTCTTCATGTATTTAAGTTGTCTCTCTTTGCTGAATTAAAACAATAAAAGAAGTTGTATAATGGTTTGATGCTGAAAAAAGTAAGAAGTAGCTATCAGACAAAATACATAATAATGGGTCATGACGCAGTAGAATCGGGTTCATGTGGAGTTGTTGCTATCATCTTAAAGTTTATTCATTTGTCTATTTTGAAAAAAATACCCGTCTATCTTGAATAGAAGTCGAGATATTTGTGATTGAAGGAGAAGGGGGTCATTTGGTTTGAGAGGTAAAATTAGCTAGAAAATGGCTGCCAAAGTTTGGGGACTCCCATAGCTTGAGAGTCTTTGGAAACTGAAAATCTACATTTTTTTGTGCCTTTATTCTATGTTTTTCAGTAAAATCCACACAGAAAGGTGTTTACAAATGGACATAAAAGGTGTTGAAGCAAAAAAGAAAAATTCTGTTAAAATTACCAAACCGACGAAAAAATGCCAGTATTTTCGATTTCATTATTTTGATTAGCGCTTCGTTTCACAGCGATGCCTCATGTACAGCCTGTATATTGTGTTATGACGAGGTTGAATCAGGCACTCGTCAATTTTTGGGCATATGAGTTATTTGCATCTTCTTCAAGTTTGTTTATTTGACTTGCTTCTGAGGCAAATATACCTATCTTTCTTGAAAAGAAGTCGAAATTTGCAATTGAAGTTGAAGGATATATGGGGGACGCCTGGTGTCAGAGGTAAAATTAGCAAGAATGTGGCCTTCAAAGCTTGACGACTTCCAAAGTTTGAGTGTCTTTAGAAACTAAATGTACATTTTTTTGGTACCTTTTATCAGCGGTTTTCTGTAAAAATCCACACAAAAATATAAACTTTAATTAATAAAAGGTGTCAGGCCAAAAGCCTTATAAAAATAGCCCAACATGCAGTCAGAAAAATTTTGATTTCTTCTATTTATCATTATTTTGACGAGCTCCTGATTCCCCCACAATGCCACATATTGTGAGGGAAGTAAACTGTTATATATTATATATTATGTGTATGTGGTGCTGGTGCAAAGTGTTACCAGAATCATCCATAAGGACCATCGTCATCATCATTGCCTTTCTCACCCTGGGTCAGGATATAGGCCACAAACAAACACTTTCCACCTTTCCCTGTCCTGGGCGAGTCGCTTGATGTCACTCCATGTCTTCCCACTTTTGTGTTCATTTCCATGACTCTTCTAAAAGGACCTTAGACAACCTAAAACATGATATTTTTGCATGTTTTATGTACACATAAAAAAGTGAATTGTACCGACTTACTCAACTATTTGAACACAAATTGTTTGAATCAAATCATATCATCTCTGACACATACTGATTCTTTCTGATATTGTTGTTACCACCGTCAATGCTCCACTTCTTCTATTAGTGCTCTATTAGTATTACTCACTTCTGTTGTGTTTCTTTTAGAAGGTGCACGACCAGGTAATCCATAGCTGCTTTTATCGTTAATGTTTGTGCTTACTAACTTTCTAACTCTACACCAGATGCTTAGGCTTTCTTTCTTTGGGAATGATAATAATTATGATAATAGTAATATAATAATAATGATAATAATAATAACAATCATACAATAATAAAAGATGGGGCCAAAGTTCTGCCCACAAAGGCTTTTTTGTGACAATACCAATTGTGTTGGAAAAATACACATTACACAAACGTTAGCCAATTGTCCAGTGTGGGGCTATTTTAGAAGCTTGATAAGCGCTGTGTAATTAAATCAGTTTCTGAAATAACTATCACATTGCCGTCGAAACATGCATTTCTGCCATAATGGGACCAGAAGACGTGTTTTTGATTGACCCACATTTGATTCGCTATGAAATCCACGTTTTACATGCCGACAACCCGGATGGTTTTAGATCTGTCGAAACCTATTTGAAATTGAAGGCGGAAAGTGAACTAGAGAGTTTTTGTCTTTCTTTAGTCCTACAGTTTGATATGTGCTTAACAAAAGAGTTGTAGGCCTGTTCTCTTGCCAGTCTTGGAAGATCTAGATCTATACATTTAGCCTATACCCAAATTTTCCTGTTCTCGATTCTTAACTCGCCTCTTGCTACCACTCGACTACTTGCCAAGATGCTTTCAGTTCACCGTAAAGTATGCATTGGGTTTTTTTAACGCAACCCATGGAAAATTGGGAAAACCCACCATCACTGCTGTGAGCCTATGTCTGCAACAAATGCTGGAAGTGCGCACCGTTCTGTTGTTCACACAAGTGCACGAGTCAAACCATGTTCAGCACTGTTGTCTACACTGAGGTCCTACGGCAATGAATCCAGTACAAACGTTTTATCTTGGGATTTCCTATCATTATTATATCACCGTTTGTAGAACGGGTCTGTAGCCTATCTAGTAATAATAATAATAATAATAATACTAATACGCTCTACATTATACTTTAAAATGTGCTTCACAACTGTTACTGATAAAAATAATAATAATGTTAATAATACAAGGCATTTACATAACCCATTTCCATAATTTACAATGCTGAGATGCTGTACATATATATATTATTTATACTTGTAATGTCTCATTATGCACTGGGTTGTCAACAAAGTCGTAATCCACTTAATACGGTTTATTTGAAGATTGCACACAAATTTGTCCAGTAGCATTTTGGTTATACTAGAATATATTAATATTACAATGAAAAAAAAACATTAAAATATATAATCGCAGTTTCATTTATACGTCCATTAACTTGATCTTACTTTTCATTTGACAATGGCACTTTATTAAGAATGAAGCATTGCCAAAATTACATGACAAATGTAATATTTCGGTGAATATAAGAAAATTTGTGATATTGAAAACAAGGAACAAAGCTCCAGATACAACGCTGCTGAAGGAAACATTTTCAATTTTAAGATGCCAGTGTGAAGGTGCCAAATTTTGTAACTTCTAACTCAGTTTGTTCTATTTCTGATCCTTTTGCACCTTTTACTAATAATGATGTACCGGTACTGAAATTTCAAAGATTCATTTCAAGACATCTCGCACTAGGATGGATTGAGGCATAACACAGTCAGTAATATATCGCTTGTTCTGTGTGTACAATCCACTCATATTATAAGGAAAGTACTTTTACATTTAAGCAACACTCAAATTTTGAGTGTGGTTTAAGTGTAAAAGTATTTTCCTTATAATCCATGCACTTTTACTGTCAATGAAACTGTCTGGCTATTATTTTGACAGTGGCCTGTTGTTTTACTCTGAAGCAGATTCTTTCAATCGAAACGGTGTGACTCATAATGAATAGCTTAGTGGATAAAAAAAGAACATACGGTAGTTCCTTAAATGTAACAATTCTTAAGTTGCATTACAGTATAGGTCTTGAATTTCTATTGAAAAAAAAGAATGAAGAATTATTAGTGTGACAACTTAACCAGATGATATACTCTACTTGATATGTTTTCAAGGCCATATTGGAATTAATTTCTTTCCAAAGGTTTATTTTAATGTGAATTTACTCACATGACTGTGACTTGTTATCTTACTTCTGCACAGACTAATACCAACAGCCTGGAAATTCAAAATTTAAATCTTATTTTTATTTCACTCACACTTCTCAGCAAGTCAACTCATGAAGAAGTTCTTTTCTAAATTATTAGTGCTCCAAGCTTTCACCTTGAAAGTAAGGTTTTTCCTGAGATAACAAAGAATTAAGAGGGATAGTATGTTGGGGGGAAGGGGGGGGGTGGAGAGGTTGAAATGCAGCCAAATAGAGCTGGCTTAAGTGAGTATCTACCATAGATCTATTCTTTGTCATGTTAATGGATTAATAAAATCTCTCGAAAATTACTTTATTTCCTTCTAAGCTAATGTCATAATTGTCCAAGATGGTCAACCATTGTCGTGGAGAAAAGTGATTGTCTTAGACTTGTGAACGTCTTGGACATTGTCATAATAATAGTGGAAATTGGTCATTTGTACCGGTAATTGTACAGGACTGGCTAGAGTAGGTTCAACTGTATTTGGAAATAGAGTAGGTTCAACTGTATTTGGAAATACTTTGAATTTGAAGTGTACTTTTTAACCTTGAATTGACCTCAGGGTTCTCAGCTATCTGGTGATATATTTTACAAACGAAAGATTAATCTAACTTCTAAATAAATGCATTGTATATATATATATATATATATATGTGTGTGTATGGGTATGCACATGAAACATGCGCTTTGATTGTCTTTGTTTTCTGGCTATATTTTCCTAAGTCATGAGACAAGTTATTTTTTATAAGCATTTATAAGGGCTTTTCAACAACTATAAATTGATAATAATTTATAGAGCAAGCATGTTTGTGTGTTTGCTTATCTCCTTTCTTTTAAAGCCGGTTTGCATGCTAGCTACACAACTACACATTCTAATCATTATCATTGTGCAAAGTTTAATGAAACCAAAGCAAAATGAAATTAAGAACATTTTAAAAACTTTATTTTATCTTAATTAATTTAACAGGCTGAAATGCACATACATGTTTATGTACTAAGGCGTATGTTTTATCCTTCAACTAAAATGGGAAAAATTGCAACAGATCATTACTTTAAGTTAATTGCTGTTCTATACCAGATATGAAAGTATCTCTTGTTGTTTTTCTTTCATAAAAATGAATAGGCCTATTTATCAACACAGAAAAATTATAACAATGTTGTGTCAGCGTGTTGTAAAATATAACGAACGAAGCAATGACAAATACTGACAAAAATTGGAAGTGAGTGCCAGGTGTTTCTTGTTGAAGTATACAAGACACGATGTAGAGCAGAAGGAACACTTACTGGTCCCTTGCCTGGATGCCATAGAGAGGAAATAGAACTGAAATGAGAAGGGAAAAAAATTTTACATTCTGGCTGAAAAAAAAAGAATGTGATGCCACTAAGCCACAGAGGCCAATAAAACTTCTTTAGATGATCTAAAATATACTGAGTACATATTACAGCCATCGTTTAATATATTTACCTTTTTCCGTAGGTGAAGGGACTAACAGATGATTTTCATTTCAGGTTCCTATGACAACAAAGCTGCGCAAAGACTAGCCAAAGATTTGAGAAATGAAATGGAGAGAGCCAGATCATCCATGGATCGTGTTGACAACAGAAGAGATGATTTAGGTTCAGTGACTTCCTCACTTTCAGAGAATTTGTAGACAAGTATATCTGGTTGTTTTGTGGATAACTTGTTGTTAGTTGTTTTTTTAATGATTGAATTCTGTTTCTTTTCATCCAAATGACATATCATATATTTTATAGCTCTAAGATTTCAAAAGGCCAAAGCAAACGTCTTTATTTGTTCTGAGCCATAAATCCCAATAACTCACAGAATTATGTTTATGGTTAAGAGTTATAGAGGTTGCTGAAATAAAGGGAAAAAATTATGGATTTAAAAATAAATTTCAGTTAACCATTGTTTTTTGGATTAACCATGTTCAGATAAAGAAGACTCCATTGTAATCGTTATAAAGCACATAGAGCATGTTGTAGAGTGCGGATATGTGCTATATAAGTGAAACATTACAAGTATTATAATTATTTTTATTTGACTAGAGGTATTGAACAGATTTAGGATATACTGAGGGCACTTTGTACAAACAGCCTTTTATTTTTATGGTTTCATTATCTTGAAAATACTATTATGTAGTTTTTGTTTGGCTTGATCTTGATAAGATAACTAAGCAATCTGCCTCAGCTTTACAAATCATACACAGGTAAAATATGTGCAAAACTCACATTTCACTTGGGCCTGAACCTATACTGTCAAAGATATCAAATTTGCTTTTCTATGATATCGAAAGATGGAAGTTTAATGCACATTATCATAGTATTCGTGAGTGTAAAAGGCGGTTTCAAATTCTTTTGTCTTTTAATTTTTTTTATTGGTAATTATCTTCAAATTTTCTTGTTGTGATGTGAAACATATTTATTCTGTGTGTGATTGTATAGGCCTTAAAATTATATACAATAACGATATATACGTTTTATCACATATTACAGGGGTGCGAAGAGCAAACACAGACTTGATGTCCTCCCAAGGGTTTGAACCAAATCAAAAGCTTCGGAAAGGATCTGCCACAAGACCCCCAAGACGTGAAGCAAGGGAGGCTTTTGGATCCTATGAGGAAGAGGACGATAACGGCTTTTAGTCTGGACTTTCCTACTAAGAAATTCTAGACCTGAATTTATAGATTTTATCAATTTTTATCTTGAAGTACATTTGTCAAACTTAACATTTTTTAACTTTCTGTAGTTTCAAAACATTTTAACTGAAGACATAATTTGAAAGGTGAAATCACATTATCTGTTAGATTATTATGCTTATATATATACAAAAATCAGTAACTTTTCCTTTAAAAAAATAAGGTACAATTTTGAGGGGTGGGGGGGGGGTGTTTGTTTTGACTTTCTATTTCTTTTGTCAGGTTTTTCAAAAGTCAAATTGATATCTTGGCAGTGTTGCCAGTTTGTAGGTGCAAAAGTGTAAATACAACCAAGTGAAACCTCAAATTTATCATTTTTTAAATTATTTTGTTTATGAAAAATGTCAACCAACCAATTATAGATCTTGTAGTCTCCACCTAAGCGCATGCTATACAAAGGCACGCTCCGCTCATATGCACACTTTCATGATATGACAAGTTTTTTTACGGTATAATTAGATGCACAAATGCACGGTCACTTCCTTAAAACACACGCTTTGATCTGTAAAACATGCCAACACGTAAAGTTTGACAAGGGAAGTTTTCACTACAACCTACACAGCTTGCATAAAACAAGTCTAGACAACTGGATATTTAGCAAGACAGACCCTAAATCAGAACGAAGAGAATGATGGAGAGTATTTTCACACCCAACTGTCCACGGACACAAAGGTCTAGGACAGGGCGAGTAATATGTTTGGGGGGTGGGGATGGGGGTGACTGAAATATCATTTGATTGGTCTCTTGAAATGTGTCTTTGAGAGAAAATATCTCAGTGGTGGTTGGGTGACTGTAAAATTTAGTTAGACCTATGACTATGATGTGCAACACACATGAATGCTGTAGAAAACTATATATGCCAACACAGGATTAAAGATTAATCTAAATGATCAGCTGGGCTCAAAAAGCTTGAAACATTTTTGTTCATCAAATCGTTAGAGAAAAATCTTTCAAAATGTCTAATGTCATCCAAGCATCGAGTTGCAAAAGATGACAAGTAGTCGGGAGAGGTCGCTTGGAAAGTTATGTGGCTGAGCGCTCTTCTGATCTTATAACTATCTCTATCTCCGACTGTTTTCCCGACATGTAAGTGCACATTAAAACAGTGAGTCGGTCTTTCCGCTTTTTTCCACCCTTCATTCAATGCCCTTTGTAATCGTAACATCGATCAGAGTATTCAGAGAACCCTTGATAAAATAGAATAGTTACGTTTCATCTCATTATCAGCGAAAGCGACGCCCCACCCCTCAAGGGAGGTCAGTAGGTTACTAAAATATCAAGGAAATGAGATGGTTGTATCCCTTTTCCCCTTAACGCAGGTTTGCAAATGCACGCTCCGAGTAAACACATGCTTAGGAGCCCTCCCGAGCACCATGCATTAGGCGGAGACTACTATGCTATATTGTTTCTATAATTCTATGCTTCTGCTATGGCGATGGAAAAGATTAACTCCATCATATGACATAAGACCTACTGTGATACTGTCCGAAAACCCCAAAATACATCAACCTTTATCATGAGGTCTGTTAATGTATATATTTTGTGATGTGCTGATGCTCAATAATATTTCCTTTCATTCTCTCAAATTTCCCAAATACTAGCTTGAGTTTGGCCTTGCGCTCTTTGTCTTAGTCTTCCATGCTTTTTACATTTATATGATTTATAAATTATATTGGCATTATTAGCAAGCTGTTCATCACTGTGAGCCCAAAAAGCAAAAGTTTTCAGGCGAGTAAAAAGAATGTTTTCATTCTTTAACTTTCAAAGATTATATATTTTAACGTTTAGAATTTGAATTTCAACAAAAATATATATATCTGAAACACATGCATCTAGTACACCACAGATTTTTTTTTTAAAAAGGAGCTTAATACATCTGAACAGCCAGCAGATGCATGTTGCTTTAAAAACAAGGTCATGTTTTTGTGTAGTTAATACACATGTATAGTCCATGCCGGCTTTAAGCACGGTCATCGGGAGAAAGCTTCAACGTGCTTAATGCCGAAGCGTGCTTGAGTGCGAAGTAGACATAATCCAGAGATTTTCATGTAGAAAATTTCCCGTGCTATTTCCCTTTGTTTGTAAGTAGGCCTATAGCGGTCCTGCAAAAGTGTGCACTGTTATTTTTACGCCCTATGGTAGTTTTTGTTTGCTTGCTTGTTTTTGTTTTGTGATCGAATGGGAAATGAAAAATTAATGTAGACAGCCAGTCACGATACAGCACACTAGGCCTATATACTGCCTGTGCGTACCCCTGCCCGCCGTGCCACATTCATACCACGCGCCTTCATCCCACCTCGCGCGTGATACACAATCAGGATTAATGGATAGCGAGGGTCAAAGGTGAAATCACAGCCAGCCTCCCTTTCTTGTCTCCCCGACTCTCTTTGTATTTTTTTGTCTGTGTGTAGCTTTCCCCTAGGCTAGATTCTATGTCCACTAGCACGACTGTGTGCATTTCTCTGCCTTCCTCTCTGCCCGTGTGAGTGTGTGTCTCCATCACTTGCGTTCTTTGTGTTTCTCTTAACACACCCCACTGCTGCAGTGTTGACAGTGTTAGAAGTTAGAACTTCGATGGGTCATCATGAAAGTATTGACTGTCTTGTAAATGAAGCGTGCCTGAAGCCGAAGTTACCGTGCTTAAAGGCGTGTAATTTATATATATATAGCAAAAATTCGGTAAGAGCCGTTTAGCGTGCTTGAGTCCGAAACGTGCTTTATGCCGGCGTGCTTAAAGCCAGCACGGACTGTACTTTCTTTTAATAGAATCTAAGTTGACCATATTCATGTTTTAATAAATTGTGGTATTTCTACTTCTTATCAATGGTAAAAAATGTTGGTTTATTTTGACGTACAGACACTAAAGAAATAAAATTATAGGCCTACATGGTAGTCATGCATGGAAATACATAAAACGCATCGGGGATTGACTAATATGGACACATCCATAAGTCAGGTAAATCTATAGAAATTAAAGAGATATTGAAGAAAATTAAGGGTAGTAACTGTGATGGTACAATGGTTGTAACTGTAACATATCAATTGTAGCAGTTTCGCTGCTCACAACTGTTTGAGAAATGGTGTGTCACTTTGAAAACCTCCCTAACCATCCTATGTTGCAACTTCCAAGTGAAGTCCAGGTCAAGCTCCTTTGCGATTTAATCTGCTTTTGTCATCAAGATGGAACTAGAGATAGGAAGAGACATGGCACTTGCTCGCTGGAGCTATTGAAATAATGCCAGCTTGATGTTCTCAAATTTGGCAAAGTGCGCTTGCTTTCCATGAAGATTGACATCCAAAGCTGGGGGGTGTTATTTGTTATCGATTTTTTTGAAACGTGGACAGTTTTTTAAAAAATTTAAGATACCAAATCTCTTACACATTTTTGACTCAGTGCAGGATTGCTTGTTAATTTCTGCGAAAATCTGATGAATGGTTTATATTGTCAGCAGACAATTATTAAACTTTTTATCTTTTCTGCCATTCGTAGGATAGAGAGCACCTTGTTCAGTGTCAAAGCTAGAGAAAGGAAGAGTGTTGCTGATGAGACTAATACTCTACACATCTGAAGGCGTGAAGGCTAGTGTGCATAAGTCTCCCCCCCCCCCCCCCACCACACACATCACATACAGAGAGAGGGAGAGAGAGAAAAGGAAGACCCTTAAAAAACTTTCAAACATGTTTAGTCAAATCACAATAATTATACTGCCAGCCTTGCTTACTACCAGGTTTTGCCAACAAAAAAAGAAGGAATGCCTCTTTAAAGTTTAAATATATTTTTAGTACAGTGGAAACCATATATAACAGGCCCGGTAATAACAGGGATATTTTAAATCCCCGTTTTTTCCCACTCTTTGTCTCTATTAAAAGTTATCGGCAATAACAGGGCATCATCAGAGCTCAACCGGTTATAGCAGGGACAAAGGATCGTTAACAATGTGTAAAAAGTAAGACAGAGAGAGAGGGAGAGAGAGAGCTCAGAGAGACATTGCAAGCACACGCAGCGTGTGAAGCGAGAGAGGGCTGCGGTGTGCTGCAGACCTCGATCTAGCCCGAAACCTACACGTAGCAACACGGACGCGTAATGTGTCACCAACGATGTCAAGCGCAAGAGAAAATGCATTTCAATTGACAAAAAATACGAAATAATCCAGGCTGTTGACAAAAAGCAAGCTCCACTGGCAGAGATTTGTCGTCAGTTCGACATTCCACTAGGGTCGATTCACACCATTATCAAGGATAGAGAGAGAAGATAGTGGTAGCATACTCCAATGGAAAGTTTGCTCAGGATGAGACTACCTGATGCAGATGCTGACGACCAAGCTCTTCTGGTATGGTTCAAGGAGGCAAGGAGAAAGTTGGTTCTAAAACCCCTGTTCGTGGGTACTTGTGGCGAGGGAAACTACCCATGAATAAGTACAGCTGGATTGGTCGACAAAAGCTTACTTTCCTTGCATTTCTGATTTAACAGGGATCGGATATAACAGGACATTTTCTCTACTCCCACCATCCCTGCTATATCAGGTTTCCACTGTATTTTTATTTTTATGCCTTTACACTCGCCATCTGCCAAGTGTCTGAGTTGTAGGCCCCTACCGCCCGTATTAAACATAAATTTGCTTCGCTATACCGCCAGCGGTACACACTATTGACACTACACATGTATGGAACATTGCACTCACTCAGTGGCTGCTTGATAATCTCTTTTCCACAAACATCTCTGCAAGATTGGCTTATTTGTAGAGTTCATCACCAATTTACTCATGATTCGCACTGATCATGAAAATGCTATTAGTATTAGCTTTAGGCTTTGGGCCCATATCTTATAAAAGATATGATTGGAATTCAATTTTTAAGTTGCCCAATGAAACTTCAAACTTCAAGGGAGCTGTGCCACCTCAGCCTGTCAGCAAAATATCTGTGGCACTGCCAGGCATCAGCTTGATGACCAAAAGAGTGAGACTATATGGTAAAAAAAAATTATACGTCAACAGGATCCCTAACAGTAACAGCCTATAGTGGTTTAGTCAGGGAATGGCATATTGTATGAGCTATCCGTGAATTTTAATTTTGTGTATTCATGCTATCTGTGCCCAAATGTTATTAATCAGCTTCAACACAGTACAAAATGACCCCTGGGTGTACGGATAGGGTTAACTTATGGCCACTTCTGGTACAGTGTGCTCATAGTTGCTAAAAAGACACCCGAGACACACCATGGTTGATGAAGCCAACTGTCCAAGTCCAAAGAAAGACCCTCATGGTACATGTATATAAAGTGAGGGACCCATAAAGTGAAGTCTATAGGCCGACATATCTGGAGTAGTGGTTGAAGGCTCCTCTGTCGTCACACATATTTTTTTGATAGTGATAGGAAACTCGAGTTTTAATTCCCGAGAGGGGGAAATTTTTATGGAGTACTGTATCTTGGTCTTTCTGCTGGGATGTTGTGTATCCATCTCAGCCCGGTTTGGCCCTGACAAGTGTTGGGGGTGTGTGCGTTAAAAACACCTACCATTACCATAATATTTAAAGAAAACAAAGTTCATGGTCCTAGGGGTCCAGGTCTGGATCATTATGTCACTGCCCCTGTTGTTAGCAATCAAACTTTTTCAAAGGTAAGGATACAGTGTATCATGTACATGATAGTAGTGGCCTACATGTACTAGAGGTACAACTACTACTAAACCAGGGATATCGTACAGAAGAAGAGGTGTGAGCAGGCTACCCGGGAAAAGGATCAACTGAACCAAAGATCAATTCATTGTTGAAGTAGAGGCTTTACGGCACTCGCAACTGCATACGGTCATATGAGCGCCAGAAGATTAGAGGTGTTACAAGAGAGTAACAGACATAAAAAAGAAGGGGAGATAAGGACAAAAGATGTTTCATAGGAGAGAAGAAGCAAACCACACCAGAGCACCCGCTAACCACCCACAGATCAATTCAAGCGAGTTCAACACAGACACAAGCAGAGTCCACTGTAAGTGTATCTGAGGATAAATTCAGGACCTGAAAATCAGTACTCTAGTGTGTGTCTTACTAGAACTACAGTGAAACTCGAAGTATAATGAAGTCAGCACACATGACCTTCAATTTTGTTGAGTGTGAGTCTTCATTTAAGTTATAGTTATAATAGGCAATGTCGGTCAATTGTCATGTGAGCAAAAAGTAGTTACAATTACAATGTCCGGCCTAGCATACAGCAATGTTTGCTTCCACAGACCAGCCCGCAATTCGATAGATATTTAGGCTAGCATTTCTTTGTTCAGTAGCCGCGGGGATGGGGTAGATATGGCTGCGACGCGCCAGTAGATCTTTGCGGAAACATGCACCTATGCCTCCAGACACAAGCATTGAGTCCGACAGTGACAGCCACACAAGTGTGCTGGCCGCCCCACTGACCTCTTGACCAGGGCACACACTAAAAAAACATGTCATGTCTATCGCATGTCTTTGTGTGACTGCATAAGATGTACTGATGACTGTATTGTACACAATAGGCTAGCCTAAGCAAAGTGAGTAATAATTCACGATGCATGTGCGATCCATGATCTGCTGGAATAGAGTAGACCAGGTTCGTTGCAGGAGGAAAATGTGCAGAGCTATATCAGTGGATGCTGTTCACACTGCAAGTGACTTCTGGCTTCATTTAATCCCAATTCCCTCATTTTATGTGTTTGTTAAATTATTTTTATGGATTTCAATTAATTTTAAAAAACGGGAAATGTCTCCATTCACCGAAATCACGAATTCGTCGAATCAAGAGTTCCACTGTATATAAATTAAGACTTTAGGGACGGGATTTTTAAAAACTTTGCTCAGGTGGTGTCATACTCTTTCTACCATGTCCAACCACCATGGAACATGCAACGTGCACAGATAATTTCTGAGATTTTTCACCCTTATCTTAGTTAAGGAGAGAGTACGGTAGGTGCTGGATCCCACAATGACATTCCTTTAAATTACAAGAGTTGAAAAGATGGCAAAATAAAAAAATTTAATTTCTTATTGATCAGTCAAGTTGGATGAAATCTAATTTTAGTTTAACGAAAGTTATTTTTACTACATATATATATAGATCGATCCTGTGAGACATTACATCACTAGAGGTGGGAAGTATCAAAATAATATAAGTGCTGAAGATTAGTTTAGTTTAGTTTTAGTTGAAGTTTTTCGGCGCTCGCAACTACATAAGGTCATATGAGCGCCAGAAGATTAGGTGTTACAAAAGAGTAACAAACATGATAAAAAAGAAGAAGGGGAGATAAGGACAATAGATGTTTGATAGGAAAGAAGGAGCAAACCACACAAGAGCACCCGCCAACCACCCACACCGAAGATTAGAGGTGTTGCAAGATAATAAATGCAAAAAAGTAGAGATAAGGGCGACAGACGTTTGATAGGAAAGAAGAAGCAAACCGCACAAAAGCACCCGCCAACTACCCACCCTATTGCTCACTTTCTCAAACCCAAAACATAATGCTAATAAACGATGACACTCCGCTGTCAACACACCATAGTACAGTGGAAACCTGATATAACAGGGATGGTGGGAGTAGAGAAAATGTCCTGTTATATCCGATCCCTGTTAAATCAGAAATGCAAGGAAAGTAAACATTTGTGGACTAATTTAGCTGTACTTATTCATGGGTAGTTTCCCTTGCCACAAGTACCCACGAACTTGGCACTAACTTTCTCCTTGCCTCCTTAAACCACATCAGAAGAGTTTGGTCCACAGCATCTGCATCGGTTAGTCTCATCTTCTTTCGATCCAAAGCAAACTTTCCATTGGAGTATGCTGCCACTATCTTCGCTCTATCCTTGATAATGGTGTGAATCGACCCTTGTGGAATGTCGAAGTAACGACAAATCTCTGCCAGTGGAGTCAACATCCTGGATTATTTAGTATTTTTTGTCAATTGAAAGGCATTTTCTCACGCGCTTGACATCGTTGGATGACACATTACGCGTGCGTGTTGCTAGGTTTCGGGCTAGGTCGAGGTCTGCAGAACACCGCAGCCCTCTCTCGCTTCACAAGCTGAATGACCGATGACAAATTATAGGCCTACTTGGGAACAAAATTTTCATCTAAATATGCTTTTATCATTTGGATGCTCCACAATCATTCTGAATACTTAGGGTTGGACAACCACTCAGTGTTGATGAAGTAGCACTTTCCCATGATGCTGGATCTAATCTAGAACTCTCTCTCTAATTATAGTCTACACATATATAGTCACAAAAAATCATAAGAAAAATAAGTCTGTTTCTAGCCTGGGTTTCAGTATGCCAAGGGCCGTTAATCTTCTACTCCCCAAAGACTATCTTGCTGAGTTTTTCCATGGTCAAACGACTATCATCCATCCAATGACACGCCAACCCTTTAGTTCAATAACACAGCTTACAAGGTATGACTGTGACGAATCCCGATTCCACACACGTCCTGCACAACACGCGCTATGCAGAAAGCTCTCGTTGCAATCAAAATTCTAAATGCTAATGCTACAATTTGCTACCAAGTTCAGTTTTTTCCCCTGGTGTTGCCTCTTCCCCCCCCCCCCCGCCTGAGTGTATCTTTAAAAAAAATTAATAATCCCGCCATCCCGGAGTCCTATACTTCGCAGCGCTCAGACTTAGAATGAACTTTAGTGACCCTAACATTCGCGGCACTCACTCGACGCCCTATCATCACGTGTGTGACATACAAACGCGCAGGTTCAGTGACCGGTCACGACGGCGAGCCCGACAAGACGCTTGTATAACTTTCTTTTCTTTTTACACAAGTGACAAATATTGATTTATTTTCATAGCGACACAGCCTTTGTAATGCACAAACTGCATGGTACAACAATGTTGTGTTATCAGACTTTTACCAGCAAATTTCAGAGTGGTAGTGAAAGCAAAAGTAGATCTAGCTTTTCCCGATCCAGCCTCGGCATCACTCATACACTTCCGCTTGCCGCCATAGCCGCCTGTAATATGAAATGTACTCTCAGACCGGGAAAAGCTGAATGATCACGACCGACAAAATGAACTTAGGGACGTTATCGGATTTGGTTTTCAAATATTCGAGAACTTTTATGCATTTTCCCGGGTCTTTCCCGAGGCAACTTACAGATTTCCTCAAATTCCCTTTTAATGCCGACGTTTATCCAACCATTTCCGTCGGAACAAAATTTTTCCTACAAAAATCCGACTTATCCGACCTAAACAAAAATTTCCTACCAATTTCCGACTTCCCTGGCCACCCTGTGGTTTCCACTATCAATTATTTTGTACGAAACTGAAGTAGTCCCCCATATTCACCATCTTTTTTTTTCTTTTTTAAAAGTAAGTTTTGTGGCACATGCAACACAATAAGGTTATATGTGCCAAAGATTAGAGGTGTTACAAGAGAGTAACAAACAGAAAAGAAGTAGGAGAGATCAGGACGATAGATGTTTAATAGGAAAGAAGGGACAAACCACACCAGAGCACCCGCCAACAGCCCACTCACCATCTTCAACAGAAGTAAATCAGAGCACACAACAAAGGAGAAAAAAGAAGGTAGGGAAACGGGAATGTCATATTTCTATAAAAACTTTTCACCTCTTCCCATGTTCTTCAATTATTTAAATTTAAAACAATTTTATGCAATTAAAAAAAAACACGAAAGCAAATGAGGAAAAAAGAAACCAACATCATAAATACTTATGGGGCATATTTATTCTGAATTAGAATCGCAATTTCTGGAAAAACCACTTGTTTTTGCCAGTCTTGTACCTGAAAAGAAAAAAAAAAATATTCATAAACAAAAGGTAGCAAAATGATAGTTCAAGAAACAGGATGAAAATGGCAAAAATCTGAAAAAAATTGTGCACCGCCAAATAAGCGTAACACACAACCAGTGCAGATGGTTCAGGTAGCCAGTCCATACAAAATGGGACTTGGTGTTATACTAGCGCTGTATTATTACACTGGGATATAGTTCCTCTTTGAAATACAGAGGATATTGTTTGAACTGAAACCAGCGGGGGGCCACTGAATTTTCATCAATTACGGTGAAAACACAAAGAACGCCGTTCCTGAAACTGACTCAGTAAGCGCAGATAGGTATAAAAATTCCCTTATGATTTCGAACCTGCCCCACATAGAGCTGGCAGACATCAGGCAGCTTTAAGCTCGGATTGGCGTCGGCTTTATCGAACTCCAAAATACATTCTTATTAGGCCGAAAAACTGGACAGGGCAGGGCGCCTCACTGTCAACTCGCGACCTCTGTGCTTTCTTGTCGTATCTCCATAATGTGAAAATGTGACTTCTTCTTCAGCTCGCTCTTTGTTGGGAACTGTTTTTACTGTTATTAAAAATGGAGATGCGACAAGAAAGCACCGAGGTCGCGAACTCTCAATGTTGTCTCGCCGTCGCCAACTCGGGTTCAGCGGTTTGCGTGACGTCACCTGACTGGACTGGGGGCAATTTTAAATGGTCATTTCAGAGCTGGTGCTTCACGGTGGACAAAAACTAATTACATTTTTTAAATCAGCGTCGTCAAAATAGGGAGACTAATTAAGCAATATTTTAGGAATTTCAAGGTTTTTTAAATCCCCAAATAAGTGCTTCATAAATACAAGCTGTGTTGTGGTGTAATTTTTTTCTTAGATCTAGATCTAGGCCTTAGGCGCCCTTTATGTGGAGTCAAGCAGACACCTACTGGCGCCTGTCTGCGTCATCTTCAGCCGCTTAAGTATTGGCATTCTCTCTTTTATCGGTGTCGCCCTTAGGTCGCAGTTTTTCAGTTTAAAGAGAGACTGCTAAAATAGTGTGCACACTAAATGGAGGTAACTCATCAAGAATTATATATATTCTGAGTTAGCAGAAGTGAAGAAAATAGAGGAAGGAGATTGCTATCTGGTGTAGAACACAGTAGGCCAACAATGCAGTACAGTATGCAGATATCTACTCTTTAACTTATGTCTATTCTGTGAGACTGCTTGGTTGACAAAGCAACCTGACAATGTCAAAGAGAGTGGAGTGTCAAGTGATCTACAGTACTGATGGGAATAGCCAAGTCTGGTCTAAGACAGAACTGTATTTTCTTCAGTTCTGCTATCTCAAAGTACACAAAATTTGATGATTTGCATTTCTTGAGAGGTCGCTAGAGAAGAGCGCCTAAGCTGTGCACACAGGAGTAAGCGCAACAAGAAAAATATAATCCTTGAAACTCTTACAGTTTAAAAATAAAAGCGGTTATCAGCAGTTCTCTTTTTTAAAACGAAAAATATCAAGCATCCTGTTGTTATAAATTACAGTATAACCCAGATAGGTCGAAAACAGATTACTCGAAATCACGCACCCGTAGAACTATGCCTGCACTCCTGTTTTTTCCCCCTTCTTTATCTTTGTTAGAAAATTACGTGAAGCCGAAACAAATATGGAATCTAAAGTCAATGTCATTCGAGGTGCATTTGAGACAAAATAAATACGAAAAAAGGCAAGGTCGGTAAAATACCACTCCGCATCCACCCCCCCACAGAAGCAGTTTGCTGGGCTATTTTAGTGCTCTCTCGACATGTGCCTAGGCCCAAGACCTTGTTAGGCTTGTGCGGAGTGGTTGAGAGGAGGGGTTGTGCATCACACGATCCCCACAATAAATTACTTTAAAATAATATTGCATCATTAAACGTCAGTCTCTTGTAACGACTAAACCCTCCATGAGATAAACCAGGTAGGTAAAATACAAGCATTTAGTTATCTAACTTACACCTTACCCTAGAGGAGTAGTTGGCCAGTTTAATGGGCCATAAATCTGCTGTTTTTTTCTTGTAAGTGTTTTACGGCTCTCGCAACTGCATAAGGTCATATGAGCGCGCGGGACACATTATACTTTTTCAGTTGGTAGAAAATTTTGAATTTTGCCCGGGTGGCGGCTGAAGCCTACTCTTATCGATTTTAGACCACCAAGGGATCTTTAACATGCGCAACTTGCACACGGGCCCTCCGATATTTTTCGCCCTTGTCTGAGAAGGCTAGGTGTAGATCTTTCCTACCAGAAGACCAGGGGTGTGGCTGAAAGACAGCAGTAAGGAGAAGCCAAGGAGTAGCAGTAGAAAAGCTGTAGAAAGAATCAGGAGCCCAGAGGAGGGGGGGCAAAGGAGATGAGGGAGTGGGGGCAAAAAGAGGAGACGAAAGCAGACGACAGAACATTGCTAGAGAGCAGGAAAGGAGGTGAAAGGAGACAAATTTAAAGAAGAAAATTTTTCGGCCACTTCCCGGATCGAACCTGGGACCTTTGAATGAGAAGCCAACACCTTAACCTCTAGGCCACGAGAGCCCCCTGGGCCATAAATCTGTCACCATGGTGTACCAAAGAATTCAACGGCACCAACTTTGATGGCATAGTTTTGAAATCCATTTCACCACTGTTAAAATCAACTCAGTTCTGTTTCAATAGTTTCACTTCCAATGAGGCAAAAGAAAGTACAAAAACAATATTTTTCTGAGCGAAAACAGACATAAAACAAAAATCAAACTTTTGCCAAGCCTTCAAGCTTTCAGAAAATCTATCACTATAAGTCCCTGGGATTGACTTCAAAAACATTTTCAGGGATTTTATGACCATTGGAGAAAAGGCTCAGAATTACCCGACACCACAAAGAATCATCAAGGACAATTGGAAAGTTAACTCACTCTCTGCCAGACCGGAGGAGTTTCAGATAAAATCGATATACAGTGGAACTCGGATTCAACAAGGTCAACGGGCCTGACCTAAAATCTCATTGAATCCGAGTGTTCGTTACAGCAAACACGAGGTTTTGTGTAAATCATTACATAAAGGCACCGAGCAAGTAATGTAGAAAGAGAAGTCACAAGTAGTGCCTGCATATTATGAGCTGTGTAAAAAAACCCAAAAAAAACCTCATGCAATTGGCTAAGTGAATAATGGTTCATGATGCAAGTGCAATAGATGGAAGCTGATTTAAGTGCTCATTGAATCTGGGTTATTTTTTATGATTTTAAAGAAGAAAAAAAAACCGGGGAATCTAAATTTCAGTTTCCTATTTTTCTTATTATTACCTATGTGTTTCAGGGCAAGTCTTTGAGGGTAACTGATGTCCTGAATGAGTCGACTGAGCAATGGATTACATCCTTTGATAAAATCTTGGACACCCCCCCCCCCAACTGATGACGTTGGCACGATGGCAAATAAACCTCGAAACATTTTCGAACTGCTAGATTGGGTCAGATCTACAGATCTAGACTTTGAGTGATAAAAGACCAAATTTATGAAGAGGGTTCAGAGTTGTAGAGGCTAGTGAAAGGCTGTAGGGATTTGTGACATTAAACTTAATATTTATACCCAAGGCTGAATTGTTCTCTCCCCCCCCCCCCCAAAAAAATGGTTACATTTGCAAAAGATCATGGAGGAAGGAAAAAATAATTTTCAAGTTCAAGATATCTTTAAAAATCCATCTTGTACTGAGTAGTATTTTCTCTATGCCTTTTGCATGCTGGGTTTCATTGTTGGGTGATGAATAATCAAGTCACAATCATTTTTATATATTGGTTTCAAAACACCTGGAATTCTTTGGACGTTGCACCATAAAGCGATGGCAGCAAGTGAGTTAACATTTTCATTTACATAACACCAAAAAAAATTAAAAAATAACCAATACAAATTGAAGCTGTGAACAGTTGAATGACCCAATGAAATTAAATGATAAAACTGGCAAAGTACAGATTAAAAGTCTTTAATAATCACCTCTCTTCAAACTTTGCCTTGACTTCTCTCCTTGCCTTTCTCTTCAAGGCCTGATCTCTGAAAACGTCCTTGTTGACGACGTTCTTCTCAAAGTTGAGATCCACAGAGTACCTGAGTTGGTTAAGAAAAGAGATCATACTTTCTGTGAATATCAAAAATACTTCGTGAAACTAATGAAGGGGCTCATTTCATTGTTACTAGATATTGTATTTACATATCATTCAGCAACATACAAAACTCACTGAGGTATATTTAACAATGTGTAGTAATTGATGATAATAGGAGAGTGATAGGTGGAGCTGACAAGACATAAAACGCATCTAAAAGGCACTAGTCACAACCTGGACAGCTAAAGGGACCATGCCTTAGAAGCACAAAGATTGGTTTTGCATTGGCTGGCATGTTTAGCCCCCTTTGCCCTATTCGAAATTCCAAGCATTAGATTATAACCTGAATGATGATGTGACCATCAAATCCTGGGGTCATCATGCCATGTTCATAATGATGGGCAGTCCTTTCTGTTTGTTTTGGTGTTTTATGATGCTCGTAACTGCATAAGGTCATACGAGCCAGTTAGGTAGGAATTTTGAATTTTGCTCGGGTGGCAGCCAAAGCCTACTCTTATCAACTAAAGGCCTGCAAAGTGATCTTTTAATGTGCACAAATTACACACGGAACCTAAATTTTTCACCCTTATCTGAGAAGGCTGGGTGTTAAATCTTACCTATCATATGTTCAACAAAGTCCAGACAACAAAATGGAGGATAGACAGACAATCGCAAGCTTGCTCGCCCCTAGATTTAGTTTTAGTAAGGTTTTTACGGCGCTTGCAACTGCATAGGTCATATGAGCCACAAGGGGTGGATGTCAACAAAGAAATCCAAACGGGGAATCAAGCTTAGACTATCAAGGCACCCCGGAAATATTAGTTCACAAGAGTGACAAACATACAAAAGAAGTAGAGGAAAATGGACTGCCAAACAGGCTTCTCCAATTTTCCATCTTCCATGGCCAAGTTACATAACAACACACACACGCAAAATATATCCCGTCAACAACATGTCAGTGTCCCACTGTGGTCTTGTTTGACTTAAAGTATTTCAGCCTGTTATAACATTTTCCTCTCATTATTTTATATATTTAAATATATATAAAATGAATCCTGCTTTGAGCGTTCAGAGGGGCCTTGAACAAGAATTTCTACTGTCAAAAACCAGTCTGGGTGATGACTCATATTGTAAACGTGAAAGACAAAAATTATTGCTTAAACTAAAAGTAGAGTAATAACTTGAATGGCTCAAGTAGACATTCAGTGTAAGAGGTGTAAACTGTGGGAGGGCAAGAGGCAGTCAGTGACACTGAAAATCTGCCAGTCTTGAACAGAAAGCTACAATATTATTCTAATTTACTATCACCCAACCAATGAAACACAAACATTTTATTTCAATAACACGGCTTACAAGGTATGAAGGATCCAGATTCCACACAAGGCCTGCACCAATGCGTGCTTTGCAGAGGGCTCCATATCTAATCAAAATTCTGAAATTTGCTTACAAATTTTTGTCCTCTTCTGCCCCTCTCCCGTGTGTATCTCTAAAAAAAAACAATAATCTCTGCCCCATTCTGTAGTCCTAAACTTCGCAACGCTCAGACTTTTAACCCTTTCGCACTTAGCAGGCTTGGCCAGCTGTGGCCCCCCATCCTTAAGACAAGGGCAACAACTCCACGAAAATTGAAGGGTGGTACCTTACTAAAAAAATTGTATAAAATCACAAACACAACCAAAAATTATGAAAATAGTATTTTCTGAAAGGAAAATGAATGAGCTAAATTACTAGTACAAAATTATAAGTGGAATAGAAGAGTATGAAATGATATGAGAAGTCTTTCTGAGATGCGTGTCTAGATCTAGACCTAAACCTCGTATACATTTCTCAACTCACGAAGTTTCTGCCACTGACAAAGAGGTAATCCACACAAAAGAAATACAACACATTCACAGAGATTGAAGCCTCTGGTGGAAACTCGAAAGCACCTAAAAGACTTTTCTTTGGGTGTTTTTATTTTGTTTTTGTCGTACTCATATCGGGCAGCTTTGCGCCCATGCATCCTAGAGACATGATGGCGTGTTTACAACTAAAATCTCCTCCGACTTTTGTTCCCGCTCAAAAAGTGACTCTTTGTGCTAGCGAAACAAGAAAAACACCATAGTAAACCGGAACTCTTCCTCTATAAAGATAGCTCCGGAACTCTTCCTCTATAAAGATAGCTAAGTTAAACTTCTGATGATAGTAAAAGTAGAAGCCTCCCGCGGCAACGAAACAAACACCCCCACCGGCGCGGGCGCATACGGGCGCTGTAAGTGCGAAATGGTTAAATGAACTTTGGCGACCCCAACAAACGCCAGTGCTCACCGATGCCGTATCTTGTGGTGCCTAGCGCGAAGGTTCACCGATCAGTCACGATGGCGAACCCGACAATCTAAAAATCAGACAACGCTTGTATTTTCTTTTCACCCCCCCCCCCCCCACACACACACACACAAGTGACAGCACGGTGGCAAGTCCGAGTAATTATTACATTTTATTTGCACGGCGACACAGCGTTTATACTATAGAACCTGCATGTCACAAATGTGTTGTTAGTTTATCGCCAGCAAATTTCTGGAAAGCAAAAGTAGATCTTGATTTTTCCGATGCCTCGGTGTCAAATACACTTCAGCCTGCCGCCATAGGCGCCTTTTTGCGTGAAACGTACTCTCGGACGGGAAAAGGTAAACGAATATTATATCACAAACGGGATCAGCAAAAACGGAGTCATGTACTGCGGCTAGGGCTCACTGAACAGTCTTGCTGGCTTCATCACTCACCATGCAGGCTAATAACTTATGACCGTTTACCTAATGTTTACTACCTTCAAGGCTAATCAACAGCCACAATAGCCGTCATGTAAACAAACGGGACCGCAATTGTACAGGAGTGGCGCGGGCGGCGATTTCTTTATCGCACCAAACGCAAAGTGCAGCAAGCGGCTTGTTCAATTTTCTAATGAACTTTTTAAGTCGCACACCGGCTGCTTCTTTCTCATTCCAGCTCCTTTTATTTTTGCATTCTGCATCAACTCGGCGCGCCAACGTCCCCATGCCCGATCGACACTTTGACTGTGTTGCTCCACAATATTAAACAAAGTGAAACTAGCGCTAGGCCTAGAAGAACGAAAGTAGAAAGCTACGGGCGGACATGCGCAAGCTGCGTTTTCATCTCTCCCGGTTCGGTGTTTTCCGCGAGTAAAAAAAAAATCGCAATTTGCGAGAGCGGTTCAGCGGAGAAAGGAGGAGAGTAGCGGGAAAAGCTAGATGAAGCGGAGTTTCCGGTATTTAGCGGGAAAGTGGGAGCTATGCATTAAACTACATATCGACGGAAAGAGAAATCAAACTATATGACGGCGGCTTATCAAGACATTAAATATGTCTACAGCGCAGTCAAGGTCATATCATAACTTCGTTGGCTTAAAATTTCATGAGAGTCTAAAAACACTGTGTTGTGACACATAGATTTAAATACTTTACGATCACTTGGCTCAATAATGCGACGGTTAAAATTATCTGTTTTGGTCTGCGTCAGGTCCGAGAAGTCTGTTGCAGTCACTCTCCTAGCAGGGTGACCAGACGAGGTATTTTGTACTGCTGGCTGTGTGACTGCAAAGTGTTAAACATAAGGACACAAACCTGGTGGGCATCAGATGATTGAAGTTGTAAACTTTCACAAAGGACTTGATCTTTGACCTCTGCTTGAGCTTCTTCTTTCCCATGGTCCTGGTGACTTTACGTGGATATCTGTCAATACCAGCAACTAGGGCATGGCCATAAGGCTTGTCTGAAGTTCCATCATCGTAGTTCTGAAGAAAGAGTCCATGATGAATACAACTGATAAAAATTATATTTATTTCAGCAGTTGTCAGCATTCACAGAGCAGCAGTCTCTCAACATTACATAGTTTCATTAGTTTTACAAAGCAGTAACTAATTCCCATTTTCAAAAGCTGTAGAGCACAGAATGCGAGAAATTTCATTGAATAAAACGGTAAGAATCAATATTTTCCTTTAAAAAAACCCATGGAAAACAACATTCTAAAAACAAGTCATGGGCGAATTATAGCATAAGCATTCATGAATTGAGAACTCAAAGAACACAAAAACGTATGTGAACAAGATGAAACCATACAATTTGTTTTAATGGTTGAGTCATTGAGGCTTGATCGTGTGAGAACACTGGAAGTCAGGTTATTTTAAAAACTGTCAAAGACATGTAAACCATGTCGTCTTCAGATCCTCAAATGGATAACATCAACAGCATCACATGAATGATATGATTGTTGCACATGATGACTCAGTTACAAAAAGCTATGTTATCTTTTTAATAAGATAGAGTACAACATTTTTTTAAAGTATTTGAACACAGGCTGAGGAGAGATGTATACTCACTTTTACGATAACAGCTTTCCTACCAGCAAACCGGCCTCCCAGGACCAGGACCACTTTCCCTTGTTTCATAAACTTCCCCATTGCTGTGACGAAAAAACAAATAATGATGAAGTGAGAAGTCTTATAAAACGCAAACTAGTACAAAAGCATGTTTTAAAAATAATGATATAACTTGAAAATTACCAGCACTGTGACTTTGTTTTAATTGACTTCAGGGTATCCTCCTTTGGTCTCAAGACATTACAGTGCAGTAGCCTACTCTTCATAATAATTGTAGTTCAGGTGAAAACGGCGGATTTAGAAAAGAAAACTATATTGATTAACAGAAAGGGAGAAGGAGGAAATCAATTTTTTAATATGAGAGAGAGAGAGAGGGAGGGGGAGGAGGGAGGGAGAGAGAGAGAAGATGGAGTAAAGTCTGAAACTAAAAAATGGCCGAATGATGAGCTGGGAATAAAGCTCTCAGACACAAACACTGACAATGTATGTATGTGCATGGAAAGAAAATTAAAGTGCTGCGATTGAATGATTACCAAAAACAAAGAAGCATTCTGTCAAGCTACCCAGGAGACGAACAAAGAAACATGGGTGTCTCGCTATAGTCAACACATGGTCAGAGTCAGATGTTACGAAAGAAGTAGATCTACCATATTTTCCAAGGGATTCCATAAATACGACAGGTAACCATTTTAAAAAACTAAAAGTTAGGGTTAAGGTTAACTTTTCAGTTATTTGAGTTATGAGGGTTGTTAGGACTAAATCTAGAGCCACTTGGGTTAATTCTAAGGCTTGGGCTAGAGTAGGGTGTTTCTGTAGTTGGGGTGGCCGCTTTTAACGGAAGTCCTCCCATATTTTCCGTTCGAGTATTTGCTGTGTTGGCTATTTTTTAAAATCCTACAGTTTGGGAATAGCAAGTCCACTATTTCAAACTTTTTCAGGACAGATGCTCCAAAATGAAGTGTTCAAGGTCTGGGTTGAGATAAAAGCAGTAGCTGCCACAAGCAGATAGCTAGAGTAGAATGACAACTAAACGCCATTGGCCAATATAGTAACAGCTATCTTGTTTTGACGTCATGGAGGGAATTCCCACTTAGTCATGGTGGCAAAACGTCCTCACGATAGATCTATAGCTTACGTTTGGTGCGCGGTGAGCTAAGATATCAAACCTAACAACTGCAAAACATCAAATTATGGTAAAATCATGCCCCCCTGAAACCTCCCTTTTTTAGCCCCTGAAATCCCCAGTCTTGTTGGGGCCAAAACCAACGAATAACAATTGCGGGGTGGGAACTACCGAAAAAGCGCCCTTATTTGGGCCTAAATCTATATCTAGATCTATAATTCTATATCATGTTAGACGCGCGGTGAGCGAGAGATATATCAAACCTAACAACTGCAAAACATCATCAAATTATGGGAAAATTCAGCAGGACATGCCCCCCTGAACACACACACACACATCCTGTTAAACGTAGAAAAGACGTATCTTCTTTCTGATTGGCTGCTAATTTTAGTAATGTGATGTCATCTGGTCATCACTTCCTCTCCTGGGATACCCACATGGAACGATGTGTTTTCGGTAACATTTAGGATTTTCTAGATTCTAGATCTCTATTAGGCCTACTTG